TCCCTCTAGGCAAAATACTCGCGAAGAGCCCTTTATTACGGGCAGGCCCGGCCCTTTCAGCAGCACTGGCCCTCTCTACACCGATCCCCGCAAAATGTCCCGCGACGCGCGCCACCGACATAAAGAAGCTGCTCGTCGGGCCGAACGGTGATCGGCGAAGGATGACGCGACGCGAGGAGACCGAACGGGATAAATCGAGCGCAAGGGCACGGAAGAGGGACAATGGAGAATAAGGGGGCCGTTATGCATTTCCGGAAGAATCGGGAACAGTCAAACGTGCGACAGTCCGGCCGGTGTCCGGTTACAAAGCCCTTGGGCAAAGAGTTGGCCGGCTGCTGTCCTTAACCCATCCACGCGTCCGTGGCCTTGAATCTACGGCCTGTTTACTACGGGAGAGCCTTCCTTTATCCCCCGCGTCTTTGCATACCGCGACGTCACGGGACGTTTGAAGGACACCGTGCCGACGACGAGCTTTTACCCTTCCCCCTACCTAACCCCACCCCCACTTCCTCGCACGGGAGACTCTTTTTTTCTCTCGGGGCTTACCTGTCGCACCGACGCGAGCTTTTTCCGATGCTCTTATGAAGGGGATGTGCACTGAGCCGATACCCCCTCTCCCAGTCCCGGGCCGACATTAATACCGAACAGTCTCGCTTATTGGGATTGTTCTCCGTTGCAGCGATTACGTATCGAATCAGCAGGTGGCGAGGTAGCGATAAAACTCGTGGGAAATACGCTGGGGAATTTTCTTGCTCACTCGCTAAATGTCGGCTACACGTTCTGCATAAAAAGGATTTGCCATCCTTTCGTGAAAATGCCTATCCTTTTGGAAGAATAACCAGTGCTCGGTTAAAGCTATCGCCGTATACCTACAAATGCATATGAAATAAGGAAATGTGCGGTTTCGCAGGATTTTTTAATTACTTGGCATTAAAAATGGAAAATTTCTTGGGAATGGACATTTTGTGGCGGCCAATTGTCATGAATTTATTTCATATTTATTATATATTATTATTACTTATTTATATAATTTGCTCATTTTAATCTCTGACAATATTGTACAAGTAGCTAACAACATCCGTCGTTGCCAATTAAATGATCACAATTACTGACGATTAATTATTATCGTTTCATCAAATTTATCAAATTATTTATGTAAGAATAAATTTCGCTGACTTGTAGTTAAGAAAATAAATAATAAAAAAAAAAAAAATTATAAAAAATAAATAAGAAGAAAGAAAGAAAATTGAATCTGTAATTCCAAGCCTTACCTTACGACACGACGTCCGACCCTTCGGACGTTCGTCTCCAATATCACAACGCACATCGCATTAAACGACTCGATTAATTACATTTTTCCATGACAGAACCAGTTGACGCTAGTAAAGGCGTATGGTTTGAAACCATAATTTCAGAAAGAAAAGACATTCCATAAATCATGAAGCTGAGCGTGTAGTTGGAGAATTAATGCCATCGTTCTGTGAAAAACCCGCTAACTTAGCTCAATTAGCAACCCAAAATACGAATGATTAGAAGCACGTTGGCCTGAAATTAACTTTGCCAGTCAAGGAGCTTATTTTAAAAGGATTAAATAATCCCGAAGAAAGCTGGCCTTTTATGAGATGAGAAAAACGTGTAAGGAAGATAGGGAGGGGTTTGATGGAGTGAACGTGGCGGTGGACAAGCAAACTCTTTACTTTTTTGCGCCATAAAATAGAGAAAGAAAAAGGTGTCGAGGAAAAAAAAAGGTGCAACATTATGGGTTGACGGGGTAGCTTTCGTTAGCACATGTTGACAAGGAGGTAATCGTAACTTTATTGACCTCTCGGGATGATCCTACGAGCAGCCTTTTACCTCGCGTAGCTAAAAATCAGGTCGGCCGAGGTGGCCCGTCGGTCCCTATGTACCACTGCGCGTCACAAAGGTTGGCGATTATTGCGGAAAACCATAATAAAGCGGAAGCCGGTCTCGGACGGGCCTCTCGTAAAAGCTCGACCTCGCATCCGCCAGGTAAGCGCGCGTATCCTTCCCTCCTGGCCCTCGTAAAACCCTTGGCGCGCTTTTTCCGTGCTCGCCGCACTTTTTATGGCGCGCCTTTCTCCTCGCTGTCTAATTTCGAAATTCAAAAACACGAAACAGAATGGCGAGCGAGCAGAGGAGTAGGGCAGGACGAAGAGGACGATGGCGAGACATCTTTTACGAGTAGTATTAAGAGGCTGCTCAATTATAACGTTGGATTAACTTTCCTTGACTCTCGAATTCAACGACGAGCGTATGGATTTTTTCTTCTTCTTCTTCTTCAAATGAGTTAACGACCCGCGCTAGATTATACTGGCTTGGGTAGAGGAGCACAACCCTAGACGACGAGGAGCCGGGGGATTAGAAAAATTATCGTCCACGCGGGTGCTTTTTTTTTCCGTAATTTTTCGTACGGCGTTATATTGGCGGGAGTGCGCACCCTCGGCTTTTACGAGGGTACTTCCACGCAAGCGGCCAACACGAATTTTACGCCTCGGAAACGGTATAAGACCGACACTACGCCGGCATTATTGCACGAATACTTATAGCCGCGGAGTTTTCACGCCGATGCGGCGAACATTTTTTGCTCGCTTGCTTCATAAACCCGGACGGAATTAATAAAGGCAAATAGGTAAGCGGCAGTGCCTTATGCCGCTTACGCCGACAATAATGGGCAAATAATTCTAGCCTTGCCTCTCACTAATTTTCCATTCCGTCCACTATTTTCAAAAAGACAATCTCCACTACTCTTCTTCAAACGGCAAAATAAATGGCTGGCCGTAGAGCCACACTTTTCTGATACTATCGCTCGGTCCAAAAAATAATTTTCTTCGTTACAATTATACGACGGCGACGACGAGGATTACGATGTTTCAGCTTCAAAATGCAAGTGCTTCTCTTTGATTATTCAATGATTGCGGGGCGCAGGGGCGGCACAGTTGGTCATCTATATGATTTTCTCCTAATGAATGAATGCTTGCACGTGTCCGAGGAAGAAAAGCGTGGCATCGGCATTTTTCTCCAGAATCCAGGGCATCTCGATGGTAACTTCCTGTGGGTGGCTTTACACCGTCCGGTTCCGAGACGCGGACGCGCACTTACCGATGCTTCGGCGCCAGAGCCAAGCGGTGGAAAGCTATGACACACATGTACCCGAGGGAGATTTGGAAGGAAAAATGATGCGCACGGCGCCACGTGGCGCGCGCGCCTTACGAAAACTCGGTCGCGTGCTGCCGATCGCTTTTTCGTCCCGCCTCACAATATCGCAGCCTCATCTTTGGCCCTTTTCCCGCTCGCCGCTTTGTTGATTCTAATGCCGCTCGACCATTTTCCGACGAGCTTACCAATTCGCTGGGTTCTGCTGGACAGCGAGACCGATCGGCGCTAAGGAATTACGCTCAGACGGAATCCATCGTCGAATTACTTAGCCCGGCATATTCGATATCACAATGTGGTCGACAGGCTTTATTTGAATTGTCCGTGGACTGAATTATTACGTTGACGGCCAACCGACAAATGCACCAATGTCGTTTGTGGCTGAGAATTTGCCGTAAAATGCAATTAAGTCGTTCGAATGCCACCCGGAGACATTTGGAGGTAGACGAACACAGAGATGTTTGATGTAATTGTGGACTTGTATTACTCCGGCTGAATTATTAATACGATCTCCGATTTCAATTTCATTCTTACTTCACGAAATTAAGCCTCGCTCTTATGACTCTTATTTCGTGAAACTACATTACATTAGAATGATAATAAAATTAAAAGAAAAAAAAATACAAAACAAAGAGTTGATAACGACGATGAGGACGATGGTATGAGAAATGCAATCTAATTAGTGGTAAAAATTATGGCGATAAATCGACGATATGTTTCAGTGGACAAGTCCTGTCGCCGACTATGTAGGATATAATAATAAAGTAAAACGGAACATCGCGAATATGGGGAATTGATTGGCAAAGGGAGAATGAGTTAGCCGCTAAAACTTTTCCAACAAAAGTGGCGGGGAATCTGTGCGAGGCGAGGCAGAAGGTCGAATTTCCAAAGTTCCGAGCTGGCAGGGATGTTGGTCAGCGTGTCATATGGTCAATAGCCGAATGCTTACGGGGGCGGCCGCTCACTCTCTCTCTCTCTCTCTCTCTCTCTCTCTCTCTCGTCCACGCACGCAGATGCGCCCAGACGGACTCAACCCTTTCGTAATAATGTTTTCGAGGCTCTGGGTTTCCATTGTGTGCAAAGGCATCGCCACCCCCGCATAAGTATACCAGGACTAGAGCTCAATGATGATCTCCGTGGAGAATGCCGCGGAGAATAACGGGGGGAGTGGCGCACGTCCAATCTCGTGACGGGCAACGCTCCCTTAATTGCCATCCAATTGACAGCGAATGAATATTGCATTCGGCACTCGCATGCGTCCGAGCTTCTTCTTGTGCACCCACGCACCCCACTCCCTCCACCGTATTCCCATGCCACTCTTT